GTGACCTCAGGATACATGAAAGAACACATACTGGGGAGAAACCACATAAATGCATGGAAAGTGGAAAGAGCTTTATTTCAAGTGGTGACCTCAGGATACATGAAAGAACACATACTGGGGAGAAACCACATAAATGCATGGAAAGTGGAAAGAGCTTTATTTCAAGTGGTGACCTCAGGATACATGAAAGAACACATACTGGGGAGAAACCACATAAATGCATGGAAAGTGGAAAGAGCTTTATTTCAAGTGGTGACCTCAGGATACATGAAAGAACACATACTGGGGAGAAACCACATAAATGCATGGAAAGTGGAAAGAGCTTTATTTCAAGTGGTGACCTCAGGATACATGAAAGAACACATACTGGGGAGAAACCACATAAATGCATGGAAAGTGGAAAGAGCTTTATTTCAAGTGGTGACCTCAGGATACATGAAAGAACACATACTGGGGAGAAACCACATAAATGCATGGAAAGTGGAAAGAGCTTTATTTCAAGTGGTGACCTCAGGATACATGAAAGAACACATACTGGGGAGAAACCACATAAATGCATGGAAAGTGGAAAGAGCTTTATTTCAAGTGGTGACCTCAGGATACATGAAAGAACACATACTGGGGAGAAACCACATAAATGCATGGAAAGTGGAAAGAGCTTTATTTCAAGTGGTGACCTCAGGATACATGAAAGAACACATACTGGGGAGAAACCACATAAATGCATGGAAAGTGGAAAGAGCTTTATTTCAAGTGGTGACCTCAGGATACATGAAAGAACACATACTGGGGAGAAACCACATAAATGCATGGAAAGTGGAAAGAGCTTTATTTCAAGTGGTGACCTCAGGATACATGAAAGAACACATACTGGGGAGAAACCACATAAATGCATCCAATGTGGGAAGAGCTTTAGTGATAGTGGTCACCTTAGGTCCCATGAAAGAATTCACACTGGGGAGAAACCGCATAAATGCATGGAATGTGGAAAGAGCTTTATTCGGCGTTGTGTCCTTAGAGTACATCAAAGGACTCACACTGGGGAGAAACCACATAAATGCATGGAATATGGAAAGAGCTTCAGTCGGAATACTCACCTTAGGTCACATCAAAGAACTCACACTGGGGAGAAACCACATAAATAAAGAATGTGGAAAGAGCTGTAGTCACAGTGGTCACCTTACGTCACATGAAATAATTCACGTTGGGGAGAAACCACATAAATGCTTGGAATGTGGAAAGAGCTTTAGACATAGTGGTTATCTTGGAGTACAACAGACGATGGACCTGATGCCAAGTGAAAGTCCTTGGCAGAAAGATAACCGTGAGGGAGTGATGGCCAGCAATGGATTTTACACGCTGCTGGATGAGAACAAAATTTTCTGTGTGTTAAGAAAACACCAAATTGTGTTTTTTTACTTTGTATATATTTATTTTTAAAGTTTAAAAACTGTTGCATGTCTTTCATAGAAAATATAAGGTTTTTTCCTTTTTATCATTGTATTCTTAGGAAGTTTGAAGTGTTCTGAAGATGTATTCTTTCTTTCTAGATTATGAGCTCCAGTGTTTTAATGTGTTTGTATTTTAGATTCAAACACAAATTTTCCCTACTATCGAAATTTAAATTTCTCCATCTTTTTACAAGGTCCAAGTATGTATTTTAAGTAAGCCTGCAATTTTTCCATAATTGGAAGACTTTTGGATTTGACGATTTCTACCAACAGTTTTTTCCTCACGCCTGTAAGACTGTCTTACATATTTCTTGGATTTAGTATATTTAAGTATGGAATCTAGAAATGATGTAAATAAATGAACTTGTACAGAATTAACAAGTTTTGGAATTGCCTGGAATAATTGCATAAATGAAAAGACTTCTTATGAGATACCCAGATAAGCATCAAACTCTTGCTTATTTAGTAAAAGCAGCCTATCACGATACACAAAGCAGTTGAATGTAGTTAACCAGCACTACTTAAGCTTTTTCCAGCTGCATGTCATCAGTCATTCATTTTACATTAACTTTACATTCACCCAACAATATTAAATTTAACCCATTGTTTACTTGTTAGGAATAAATCCTGACACTCCTCCTTAAATTTATATATTGTTTAAACACATCTGATTACATATATACACAAGTTTTTCCGTTGTTAACCGTTTTGTGAAAATATCAGATATTATTTGTGGTGATGACGGAACAAAGGTAAGCTAATTGCTTTGGAGAGAGAGAATAAAGGAAACGACAGCAGTTTTCCAAGCCAGCAGAGCCTATTGACAACGCCCCAAGGGCTCTTTTTATTGACTTAGCATGATTACACAGTATGTTATGAAAGAAACAGATAGGATGCTGGTTACCACAGTGTCTTTGGGTATTGGTCCATGATGTACTGTTCTGACTTTGTAGACACTGAGAAGGAATTGATAGGCGACCTGTTCAGCTGTGATCAGATCATGAGGAGCACTTTTAACAGTAGGAGGTGGGATTTCTTGAACTGGGGTAGTATTTACTGAGTTTCCCCCACTGGATCCGGGGCTGGAGGTCCACTCAACTTGGAGTTTCCTGGTGTTGGAACAGACCAGCATTGATTGGCCTAATGATAACCTTTCTGACACCGGTGGCATTTTTTAGAAGGATGTTTATAGGAAGGAGGATTGTTTCTGTTTTCATGGAAATCTGGTGGCTTAGAGGGTGGCAAAATCTGAGGGGCTGTTGGAAGGTTAGCCAAGGACCGGGCTAACAAAGGTTTCATGATTTTTGCAATCGAGTCCCGGCAAAGATGCCATGTATGGAGGACTTTAACTGGAGCAACAGGGTCTTTGTGCAATTTATTCCCAATTTTATCCCAATCTGAAAGCTTAAGGCTGCCCATTTCTGGATACCGAGGACATTGAGCATCGATTTCTCTCAACAAATCCCCTACCAAGGCAGATACATCATGGGGGCCTCCTTTATGGAGGAAGTAAATCAGATCCTTTTTATGATGAGTTTGAAGGGCTGTGAAAGTGTTTCCCATTTTGTACTAATAAGTAGTAGAAGGGCATAGCATTCATCAAATGCCATTTTGACAGCTACAACAGCCCTGTAAGGTGGGCCTTCCAGGTCAATGGTTGACCCAGGCCACTTCCGGCAGAAGGGGCAGGTTTTGAGGTGATGTCAGGGGTTGTGGAGGTCACTGTGGACCTATAGAAGGGTTTCCTAGAGTCCGGGGTCCCCATGACCAGAGAGCGGCCTGAGGATTGGCCCCCCGAAGGATCTTGTCACCCCGTGATCCTGTAGGCCAATGGGGAGTGGCTGAAGGGGTTTGGCTAGAAAAAGCAGCTGCCGCAGGACATGCCCTGGCATGCCATTAGGCCTCTTGGTTATGGAAAGGCCACAGCAGTGATTTTGGAGAGATCTGTGCACGCTGACCGTTCTTTGCAGTGGTTGTGGTGCATTGGAGACGACGGAGGACAAAGAAAACCAAATTCCCAAGACAGGCCAAAAGGAGTCGGGGAGACCCAAAAGGTGTTTGCACCCCAAGGGCTACCACCATGGGGCTGTGGGTTTTTCCAAGGAGCCCTTACAAGTCTCTTGTACATAAAGAAAATTATGAAATGCTTAGAAACCTCTCAAAAGGCCTATACTTTTTAAAATAGACTATGGAAGCCAACAGATGAGACATTTCTACTGGATCCCTTATTAGCGATTAAAGGTTTGGATTATAAAAAATTCTACTGTGTCTGAATAAAGCACTTTTGAAAAACACACAGTTCTGTTTTATTTGTGTCACCTGAGATTCAGGTCTTCCATTTTCGCATTTAAAAAGGTGGTAATTTTGAACTACAGAAGCATTCTTAACTTTGCATGGGTGTATAATATGTCTTTGATACAGGTTTTCAATAAAAAACATTTTATGTGAACACGGGGAGACCTAGCAATTTAAAAGGCCCAAAGGATGGTCGTGCCTGCCTGGAAAAGTCATTGTGGCTATGTTGATTCCCACGCATCAGTTAATGACTCTTACAAGGGATCAGGAAATGTTTGTGTATCCGCCTCAGTAGGTACATTAACATGGACCTGTTGTCTTTTACAAGCCCTAATGAATGCAAAATCGTAAAGCAATTATTTCCCTAATGAATGCAAAACATTATAAAACCATAAAGCAATTAGCCTTGTCGATTTCAGAAAAAGCCAAATGGTCTGTGTCGCCTGAAAATCATGACGTGTTTTTTTGAATTAAAAAGGCTATATCTTTGATCTACAGAAGCATTCTTACCCTGCAGATTTGTATAAAAATGTCAAAAATTATTCCTTGAAACCCTATTTTCCACATGGCCTATTTCTCCAAGAGGCAATCTTGTCACAGCTGTGCACTGGAGTTGCAAACAGGCATGACTCTGATGTGTGTGTGTGTGTGTGTGTGTGTTATAGGCATTATAGGCAACTTGTCCCCATTCATGGAATGCTTTTTCTTGTGACGAAGGGGGACCTTGAGTAACTTAGAGATGCTATGGGGAACACCCAAACATAGAGTTTTTTCCTTCAAATCATGATGTAACTGACTCTTTTGCTCCCCCTTTTATTGTCACAACTCTCTTGCACGGTGGGCTGAGAGAGAGGAAAAAAGACTCATAGATTAGATGAGGCTAGAATTTGCCATTCTGAAATTGTAGAAGGAGCCTAGAGGACTAAACCTGCTGAAAATTAGGCCACGTTTACTCCAACCTTTAATTGCAAGACCTAAGGGGATTCTGTTAATGACAAGCCTGACTTTTAAATCCTTTAGTTCATGGATCATATCCTAAGGCAGGTCTTTATTTCTAAGTAGGCAGAATATGTCTTTGATACATGTTTTCAATAAAAACCCATTTTATGCAACCAAGGGGAGCCCTAGCAGTTTAAAAGGCCCAAAAGATTGTCGTGCCTGCCTGGAAAAGTCATTGTGGCTATGTTGATTCCCACACATCAGTTAATGATTCTTGTAAGGGATCAGGAAATGTTTGTGTATTCTAGGTACATTACCACGGACCGGTTGTCTCTCACAAGCTTAATGAAGCCCTTATCTGGATGGAGCACCCTGATTAAAAGAAAGCAAAGATCCCAGCTTCTTGATTATCATGGTCAGTAAAACAAATAATGATGCAAAGCTGGGGTCTGGAAAAGACATTGTGCCTATATTGATTCCCATGGAAAATAGTATAAAAAGCCTTGATAGAAGCACTTTACTCATCCACATCTTGGAGAGCTGTGACAGGGCGCACTTGCTGAAGATCTAAGAAATGGCACAGGTAATATGCTGCGTCAGATGAATTTTTTATAAGAGAGAGTTTAGCACAACTTTTATATTTTCTAGAATTTCAGAACTATGGCACAGATTCACCAGGCATTAGAGCCTCTGCCAAAAGGTTAGAGCTTGTTTTAAACCTGTTAAAATGATCTTTTATAGAATTATCACAGGACAGCACCGAGTTTTAAATTTTTTAAAATTTATTTTACTGCTAGATACAGAAACGGTTTTTAGGTATTACAAACACAGCAGCCATTTGAAAAACAAGACCATTTTTGATTGCAGATTAGCATCTTGTCTTAGAAACTTGTTTAACCTCCTTTCCTGTAGCAGAGAGATAAAGTCGCATTTACTGTATGTCTTTACAGAAGATGGGCTATTTAGAAAACAGTACTGTTGCTGTACTGTAGCTAAACGGAGGTAAAAAAAGCTTAGTGTTACATACCCAGCCGCCATTTTGAAGAAGCCATTCTGAATGTTGAATCATTATGTAAGCTGTAACACATTTTGTAAGAGCATGTAAATTCTGGCTTGTTAAAGGTCTGTAGTTTTTATGAAGTAGCTTTGCCAGGCTGCCCACGAAGCTTAGGATTGTGACCATCCTTCCCCAGTTAATTTTTCCATCTTCAAATTCATATTTCATTGTTAATATAAATATTTTGCAGATGTCATCCAGACTAGAAATCTTGATTTGCCTTAAATGAGCGTCGATTTGAAGCTCAAAGGGCTTTTGAAACAAAGAGTCTATATTTTTTAAAAGAGGGCTCATTTCTGGTTTAGGCCATATATTTTCAGGCTGTCCGCAGCAGAGATCAAAATAATTACGTACAATAGCATAGGTCTGTTGCTCCAGGTTATACATTTAACAGGACGATTCTAATGCATGGCAGGACCTAATATGTGTTTTTCTTCATAGGTCTGTTGCTCCAGGTTATACATTTAACAGGACGATTCTAAAAGCCTGTAGTCAATGCATGGCAGGACCTAATACAGTGGGGTCTTGACTTAAGAACGGCTTGAGTTAAGAACATTTTGACTTAAGAACCACTCTCATAGGAAAATATTGACTTGACTTACATACTTAGATTTGAATTAAGAACTGAAAAAAACCTCGTGGGAGGCAGGGAAAGTGCAAAATTTGAACTTTCAGTTAACTGTTGGCCAGTGAAAAGGGTGCCTGTCTGCTTCCTCACTCCTCCCAGCGTTTAGAGAGTGGATTAGGAGACAGTCTTCGGACTGCCTGGTACTGCCTGGACTGTATTTTCCCTGCCTTCCCTGAACCTTTCTTGACCTAAGAAAAAGAGAAACAAAATATCCCCCCTCTAGTGGTCGAAGGCGGAATAGCAGCTTCCCATTAGTTTCTATGGACGGAAAAGAGCAGATACGGATCAAATGGTTTTCAATGCATTCCTATGGGAAATGCAGATTTGACCTGAGAACTTTTTGACTGAGAACCGCCTTCCAATACGGATTAAGTTCTCAAGTCAAGACCCCACTGTAGGTGTTTTTCTTTGCACTTGTGAACCACCAACGCATTATAAGACATGTCCTAACATGTTCTTTGCCCCTGCAGGAGGTCAGAGCAAGGAAAACAGATCTGCTTTTTAACATACCAACGCTGATATAGAAATATCTTTTTCAGCAAAAAAATTCAGGGGGATTTTATTGATCCCTTGAAAACACCTTCTCGACGCCTCTATAAATCAATGCCTGAGAGGCCTCTTGAGCCCGGAGAGCCGCGTCGTGGCATTACCTTTAAAAGAGGAAAGCCTGACCATGGTGAGTGCTGTGTATTTTCATGGCTACTGTTTTAACAGGATGGGGGTGTGGGGTGTGGGTGTGGTGGGGTGGGGGATTGCACCTTTGTCTTATATAATCTAATTTACAGTTTTCTCAAATCCTTTTAAAGTGTCTTTGTGTGTGTGTGTGTGTGTGTGGTTGTGTGTGTGTGTGTGTGTGTGTGTGTGTGTGTGTGTGTGAGAGAGAGAGAGAGAGAGAGAGAGAAACACTGCAATGTACCTTTCACAAGCATTCTTTTTTTGTTCTAGCTCACACTATAGAAAATCAGCCCAAAAGACATAAGGCTGCTGAACTCCCAGAGAGCATCACCCACCCAATGAAACCTCGTGTGGTGTTGGGAGGCAGCCCTGGTGAATGTTCAGGTGTGAACAACCCAGCGAAACCGCAGGCGGTGAAGGGCCAGAAAAAGCAAAGGCCACCTGCAAATGTTGGAAACGCTGTAGACACTGTACCAACAGTTGGTGAATGGTTTTAAAAAGTTGGATTGATTGTTAACATGGTAGCCATTGCTAAAGAATGGGGGGAAAGGATGGGTCAGATCACGAGAGAAATGCCAAATATGCAAAATATCTGTGAGTCGATTAAAAATGGATCATTTTTCTTGTGTAAAAGCCTCTCAAATTCAAACAGGTCTGGGTTATCCTGATGTAAAGAAGACGCCCAAAAGAGGTAAAATGAAAAGGGGAAAAAGCCTATCACAGGGAAGCTTTACTGGCGCAATAGAGCTGTTAAACTGTTACAAAGGGCTAAAAAAAGACTTGCACTTAGGAAAAGGGTCCCTGTCTCTCTGCCCTCTAGTTCTACACAGCAGGGTCAGTCTCAAGAGCACTCACAAGGCTCAGAAGGTGTGGCTCCCAACCAAAAAAAGCTGGAACAGATTAATTGGTTTTCAGTGCATTCCTATGGGAAAAGCTGATTCGACTTAATGAACTTTTCGACTTACAAACTTCCTTCCAGAACGGATTAAGTTTGTAAGTCGAGGGTTGACTGTAGTGTATCGAAAGAAGATGTAGAAAATTATATTAAAGAAAATGTTAAGAGTAAATTATCAGAGAATGATAAAAAAAGATTTAGATAAAGAGATAAAAGAGGAAGAGATTGTAGAGATTATTAATAAACTAAAAATGGTAAATCTCCAGGTTTTGATGGATTAGGATCTCATTAAATAGGCTTTTCATTTTTTGTAAATGTTCAGACACGCTCTAATCTACATCTGTAGAGCTTCCTGGTTAAAGACACTTTAGAGCCTACCATGTCTCTCACATAAATCCTTTTGAGACAGTCCCAAACTGCTTTCGCTGTAGGTAAGCCTTGCATATGGACTAGCTGGCTGTCTTCTAAACAGAGTACTCAAAGCTTTCTCATTAATTTTCTCTTTCTCCTCATTAAAACCTGGCAGGGGTTTGGCAACGATTTGCCATAATTCTTCCCTCCTTAACAGCATCTCTGCTTTCACGGACCAGGTCTGGTAATTAAAATCATTTAACTTTGTTAAGGGAAAACCTTTTCCATACACCTCCATGCTGCCTGCTCTTCTATCAGTCCTCCGTTTTCTTTCCCCTCCTGGGCACCTAATGGCAGAACTGCTCTCTTCCAGGACCTCTATCTCTTCCTCCATTCACTACAGTGGCACCCTCTGGTACTCACCAGGTATCTTCTCATTAGGCAGTGTGCGCAGGGTGCATTGCTGGGCCCATAACCTTTGTTACTGCGAACCCGCAAAAATCCAGCAGAGTTAAGTTTTTTTCAAGTCCAGAAGGCAAAATAAATCACTCATACATGTTCAGCTTCCTTTAGCATGACACGTGTATTTACAGCATTGAATTTAATGGCTTACTTTGACAGTGACTGGGCAAATGATAAAAGTGACAGGAAGTCAATGTTTGCAAACATCCTAGTGGATGGAAATCTAGGAAGCAAAGTTCAGTTGCTACTTATACAGCAGAAGCTGAGTTTGCTGATTTAAAGGTTGAAACACATAATGCAATAAAGGAGTTAGAAGACAACACAACTTGCATACAGATGGCTGTAACTGAAAAAAGAGAAATAGGAGCAAACATGTAGATATTAAGTATTATAACGTGAGAGAAGCTATAAAAGAAAAGTTAATAGAACTACAGTACAGCAAAATAGAAAAGAATATTGCCGACATTATGACAAAACCTTTGAGTGCACAAAGACATGATGAAATAATTAAGGAACTGGATATGATTTCTGTTCATGCGTAAATTAGGAGGGGTGTTCAGAGTACTGAAAATTTACAGGCCTGAACAGAATAAAGCGGAACAGAAGTAATAATGAGCTGCCATGATATACAGGTGTGTATGTAGCGAACAGCCCTGCCCTCACCTGTCCGTCACAGCTGAACAGTGGAGTTGGGGCCAATGAGAGGACGGTAGGTGGAGCCAAGGGGGGAGGGGGCTGGATATAAAGGCTGGTGTATGGAGTATGTGGTGAGATTCTGTGAGTGAGAGACAGTGTGAAACTTAAAAGTGAACTTAGAGTGAGTTCTGTAAGAATGCTGAATGGTACAAAGAGTTATTAGAGATTTAAAGTCAAAGTAGAACTGATATAAATATAAGTGATTAGCAACCTGTGATTTACTTATCGAATATTAATCAGATGTTAGCTTCCCTGACCTAATAAATGATTTAAGTTTCAAAATTACACATGTCTCCTTGAGTGACTGGTAGTGAGAAAGCAATACCTGGTGGCAGCGAAGTAAGAAGAAGGGTGAGAACCTCGTGAAGACCTGAGGGGATAGGGGCTTCAGAGGGGATTGCCAGAGTGTACTCTGGAGAGGTGGTGCCTTGGATGATGAAACACCTGCTGTGATTGGATGAGGGCAGAGGCTCGACTGTATATACAATGGTTCCTCGCATAGCGAGGTTAATCCGTTCCGTTCATTCAATGCGTTCCTATGGCTTTAAAACTTGCCGTTCAGTGAAGTTCCTCCATAGCGCCGCCATTTTCGCGTCCTCAGTAAGCGAGGACAAGGTGCGAAAATGCGGCGCGGACCTTCTGCCAGCCATTTTGGAACCGCCGATCAGCTGTTCTCCCCCGCTTCGTTATGCGATCTTCGCT